CCCTCTTTTCCACCACCACTGACTGCCCTAGTTCAGAGCCTCTGTATCTCACATCAACACTATTTCAGTAGACGCCAAAGTGCAGCTGACCCTTGAACAACATGGTTTGAATTGTGTGGGTCCACTTACATGCAGATTTTTTTCAATAAATACTGTAAATGTATTTTCTCTTTCTTTTGATTTTCTTAATAACGTTTTTTTTCCCTAGCTTTATTATAAGAATTCAGTATGCAATATATATAACCTACAAAATATGTGTTAATCCACTATGTTATCATTAAGGCTTCCAGTGAACAGTAGGCTATTAGAGGTTAAATTTGGGGGGAGTCAAAAGTTATATGTGGATTTTTGACTGTATGGGGGGAGGGTGTTGGTGCCCCTAAGCCCCGCATTGTTCAAGAGTCAACTGTACTCGCCCTGCAGCCTCTGACTTTCATTTGTACTCACCTCTCTGCTGCCTGATCACATCACTGTCCTGCTTGCAAACATTCAGTAGCCCCCATCACCTGCAGATCAAGTCTCAACTTTATTCAAAGCCCTTTGCAATCTAAACCCACCCTACTTTGTCTCCAGCCATTCCTTCCTGCCCTGAAGTCCAAGCTAATTGGCTAACAACACATTTTCCAGGCCCTCTGACCTCACTGTTTCCCCTGGTCCCTCAGCCCCTAACCTTTCTTGCTCTGACCTTTCTTCCTAATTCTTCAGGGCCAGCTCCCATACTGCCTTCCCCGAGAAGCCTTTCCTGTTCTCTGCTGCTGCAGCAGCTTGAATTCCCTCCTCCTCTGCCCACCACAGTTCTTTGAACATGCCTCAAGTCTGCTGCTATCCCAGTATAGGAGGTGAACTGTCAAGTCCACAGACTCTGAGCCACCTTGCCTGGGGCTGAAGCTTAACTCCACCACTTAACAGCAGTGGTATCATAGGCAAGTCACTTCACCTCCCTGTGACGTGATTTTCTCATCTGCAAAATAGGAGACATAATGGCGCCTTCCTCAATGAGTTGCTGGGAAGATGAAATGAGTTGATGCATTTTCAGCTTTTGGACAAAATAAGTGCTGTATAAGTATTAGCTATCATTTTACTAAGTGCATGTCTCTCTTCCCAAATTGATGTGAACTCCTAGAAAGCAGGGGATTTCTAAACCCATCTCTGTGTCCCCAGTGCCTGGCACACAGTAGGTACCTGGTACATATTTCTTCAATTAATTGGATTTTTTTTTACCCTGTCAGTGGTTCATTTGTTTATGGGTTAACTGGTGAGAGCAGGGTTATTTTCAATGAGCTTGTATTCCCCAGAGTGGGCCATCAGCGGGTTCCAGCCCCCGTGTCTAGACAGATTTATAATACTGTGTATCTGGGTGACTTGGCCAGGGTATAGGGTTCCTCTCAGTCTGCTTTCCTTATCTCTAGGTCCCGTTCTCTGCTTCTCGGACTCCCTGTGAATACGGGGTGTTTCTTGTTCTACTTTATTCAAAGAAGCTTTGTAATTCAATACCCTTGTCCTTGGGTTGGAAATGTGTCCTTTTTTTTTATTGTGGAAGTTGGGTCTTTGGCATTCAGAACAGGGGAATATGCCAGGACTTTGGGATGTTATGACAGCTGAGTGGAGAAGGAAAAAAAGGAAAGCCTCAGAGATGTAAGAGTGAAGAGGGCACGAAATGTCAGGAAGCCTGGCATTGCTCAGGCTCACCTACTCTGTGTCCTTGTCCAGTGATTCGATTCCCGATTGTTTCTGCTAAGAAATAATGATAGTCTTTGCTGCTCAGGACATCGCTGGATAAATGGGTCCCATGACAAGGCCTTCAACTAAAGATGCCAGTGGAGCATTTGGAGGGAATTCAGCAGAGAGCAACAAGGGACAATTCAGAAAGAAGAGACTGGGAGGATGAGTGAGAATTCTAGGATAGGAGTGGGATGGGAGAAGTAGGTGCGATTCAGTGATTGATTTCAAGGAAATGAAGGGTGTTTATACAGACATCTAGAATTTTCTACAGACCTGTGCTTCAGCTGAGAGTTTTAGGACAGCTTTTAGGAACATGTGGCTATTGTGGATAGGAAGGGATGGCAGCTAAGACAGTTCTGTTACAGCTTCTGTGCCCTCCAGCCTAAACAGTGACAATCCTCTGTCACCAATGCTTAGTGAAGGCCTGGACTAGACTGGGGCAATGTTGAAGGGGAACAGGGTGACCTTCCACACCAGAGCCCTATCCCTGTCCCTCTCACATCTGCCCCTTCTGACTCTCAGTTCTGTAGACCACGGAAGACTTCTGGGTGGAGCAGAAGTGCTCAGCCTTTCATTCCACTTTCAAAAAGAGATGATGATTCCTTTTTTATCTTCTTCTCCCAGAACTGTTCATAGATACCTGTGACTATGACTTTATTTTTGACTTTTTTCCTTTCCATTCTAGACTCACCTTTCCATTGATTTCTCAATCCCTACTTGTCTTCCCATTTTTCTTCCTTCTCCTTTCCTGCTTTCTGGAGCTTCCCACTCTCCTCTCTCTTGCAGTTCCTTACATATTGGTCTGACAGAGAGGGGCTATGGCATAAACCAGAGCCTGGCATGTGCCCCATCCCACCACCCACAGCCCTTAGTGACAGCCAGTGTGGGGAACTTTCCTGGCTGGGACCATTCTGGCACTCCAGCTGCTTAGGCTGGCAAATCGCTTGGACATTCTTGCCCACCCTAGAAGCTGGATTGGCAAGGATCTTGGTTTCTGTTTTGCTTGACCATGAGTGAGTTGAAATATTGCTCTGTAACATCATTTCTTCATTCATTCAACATTTACTGTGTGCCTGCATCATGCCAGTTACTGGGTACTGGGCAAGCAGAGATGGGAACAGATCAGGTTTCTACAAAGAGCTCGCAAGCAGGTATGCATCCTGTTACTTGTATAATAAACCATAATGCCGTGTGAAAAGTATTATATTAATATGAAAAAGACTAGGGTAGATGGAAGGAAATGAATCCATAGGCCCTGCTTCCTCTCAAATGCTGACTCCAACTTGGGTGGTCTTTTGGGTGGTTGCCATAATATAAATAGATGTTGGTGATGCCAGTTTATTTTGACTCTGTCTGAATAGCAGCCCATTTCCTTTCTCCTTAGGGCGACATAACAGAACAACAGTAATCATTAGACTTTTTCTACTGAGGTAACGATGCAGATATTTCTAACCCCTGTTGGGTTTCAACAGCCACATTTTGACCACTTTTTATTGAAAGCAGACCCAGATTTTAGTCGTACAAAACTTGCACAAGAGTAGGGACTCTGTGGAAGTAGATGGAAAGACCCTCTTATGAATGACTGACCGCTTTTTAGAAGTGTGAGTGCATGGGAGGATGCCGAGGGAAATGTAGTAAAAAGCAGTAGACCAGGAGTTAGAAGACTAGAGGTCTAGTTCCAGCAATTCACCAATTAACCTAAAGTCCCTGGGCCTCTGTTTCCTCATTTGCAAATGGGGGGTAATAACAGTATCCACCTTGTTGGGTCATGGTGAGAATTTGATGAGAAAATGCATACAAAGCACTTAGAATGCAGGCACAGTGATGATGATGTCAGAGATGGTAAAGTTCAGGCTGTGTGACTTTGGGAAAGTCATTTATGTGCTCTGGCTTCAGTTTCCTCATCTACCGATGGAGCCAGTTTCATAGAATTATTTGGAATTCTGTTCAGCAACATTTCTTGAGCATCTTTCATATTGGTGCCACACTTGGGGTTCAGAATGGTCCAGAAGCTAGCCATTGGGGAAGTGGACACACATATAGATGCCTCTAACAGAATATACAGCCCCAAAGAGCTACTAGTTTCATAAGTATGGGTGTGCAGGGCAGGAGGGTCCCGGGGAGCTTGGAGGGGAGGCAGTGTTTGATCTGGGCTTTGAGAGGTGAGTAGGGAGAGATTGTCTTTCCTGCAGAAAAACACACCACATTCCTGATCTGCCTCGACGACCTTTTTACTGCTTCTCTGTCATTAGCCCCTTGAACTGTGATGTTTTCAGTTCATCAGAAATATGTCATACCTCCTCTTGCCTGATGCCCACCTTTGCACATGCCAATTCTTTTGGCCTGGAACTCCTCCTCCGTCTGCTAGGGGTGCAGATAGTGGACAAGCAAGGCACTAGAATAAGGCAGTGGAGTCCATCCTCGCTGCGCCACTTACCAGCCAGTGGGCCTCTGCTGTGTTACTCAATCTCTTGCTGAGTCAGTGTCCTTACCTGCAAAATGGGGGTACAGGATAATAATAGGGCCTACCTCAAAGGCTGGTTGTGAGGATTAAATGAGGTAATACCTGCAGAGTGCTTGCAAGCCCGGCCCACAGCAATCACTGAATATTGAAAAGGAGCAGTTACCATGAACACTCACTCTAGGAGTATACCTGGCATACTCCTACTTGTATTTCAGGTCTTAGCTTAGTCATCGCTTCCTCTGGGAGGCCTTTCCCTACACAGGTCAACTTCTAAGGCTGAGTTATGTGCTCCCATAGTTATCGCTTTTTCCACCTGTCATTCCCGACACCTGTCATCTCTGTGTCCCCACCCAGATTACAAACTCTATGAGGACAGGGGCCAGTCGATTGGCTGCTGGGAGGGACACATGGTAAACACTCAATAAATATTGAATGAGTGGCATGGGGTGAGGGTCCCAGTGATCCCCCGAGGCTGTGGCAGAGCCCCCTGGAGTTATCAGAGCACCATGAGGATGAACCGACAGGCGGACCTTGACACCGCAGGCAGCAGACAGAGCCTGGGCGTCCAGGGGGTCCAGGTCTCCTTCCCGCCTGGACACGGACCCTGGAGTACGCACAGCGCGGGGAAATAGAGGACAGCACTCAACTTTGGCAGGGTCTGAGCCCTCGGGAGAAAATGCAGCCCGACGGGTCCGTCGAGCGCTCGGGCCCCGCCCCCGGTCCCTCCCCGGCGCCGAGCCCCGCGAGCCCCCTGTGAGCGCGGGGCCGCACAGACATGGGCAGCCAC